AGCACCCACAGTGGGAATCATGTCATTTTACCTCAGCACTAACTGATTTAGCAGCACCATCCTGACTTATGCCAGCTACTGCTTCAGCTCGTTGTCTGTAGGAGAGAGACAAATGCATTTGGTAGCTATCCAACATAAGCAGAACTCTCCCATGGTGGACAGGTTTGGAATATTCCAGGACTGACAAAATGGGAATTCCTATCAGTTCCAGCCCAAGGTCTCATGGATGTCTTGAGTAGCTTTGCAGCTTTGTTGTGACATTAGACCAATTTTCCATCATGACCAGCATGATCCTACTTGGATATTCCAGATGGTGCCCTGTCCTTTCCTCCGAAGGGATAGCTCATGTCTGACACAGCAAAAGCAGATTTCAACGGTGTTCCTGATTTAAATCCAGAAAACAAGACCTTGATGAATTCATGCTCCTAATTATCAGTGGAGACTACCAGATTGCTGAACATCAGGGAGGGGAACTGCATTTTCCTTCTCAACTTCTTGTAACCTAAAGGAGTAGGAAGACTGCTTTATGCTTATGGTTGATAGGGTGTATAATGTGCACAGAGAAATCACACTTCACCTTGCAAATTTATCATACTATTATTGTACAGTTTTTCTACAGTTAAAACCTACAAGTTGCTAAAATTGCTACCACTGTTAAATGCTACTCAGACCTAAAATATGTCTATAGTTATCAAAACTGAGCTGTGAAGCCAATGGGTATAAGAGACCTAACTGTGAAGCTCTTGCTTCAGGTTACAGGTGGTAACAGAGAAAAAGAAAGAAATATTTGCATTAGCAGTTCTGATCTAACCAGGACACAGTCAAATTGACAATCATTTTCATGTAAAGACCTAATTAAGCTTTGAGTTCTAGTTCAGTTTTGGGAGGAAGTACTGAAGTCCTTATAACAAGGATTAGAAGATGTAACGAGTGTCTTGAAACAACTCCTAAAGTCAGGGTTGCTCATCTTTCTTCTTCCTGATGAGGGCAAAGATAATATCTGCACTGATGAGGAGCAAACTGATTGATTTGCTTGAGAAGTTTCCAAAAGCATAAGTACCTTTCCCTGAAGCAACCTAATATGACAAAAAAATCCCTTTCCTCTTAAAAAAAAAAAAAAAAAAAACAAACAACCCACATACAAAATATGCACATTTCAGCACTTTTCCTCCCTGAGGTTTTCTCAGCCCAGGAAAAAAAAAAAAAAAGATGTTTTTTTCCAATTGCCTGCAAAAGGATTGCATCTCTGCCATGTGGCTGCATCTGACAGTCAAATACTGCTGATGAGAATCATCAGTTCCTTCAAGGACTTGACAGTGCATCCAATTTGTTTCGCAAGTGACTGTGTAAGGAGGTGACTGCAGCTATTACTTTGTTAGATTTAGTCAAAACATCCCCAGAAGAGGTAGGAGGGCATGCTGGGAATTGTTTGATGAGCCTGCTGGGAGAATAATTACATGGCCAGCAGTTTGTTCACTTTATCTTCTGTAGCACTTTCTTAGTGCCTTTTGTGTGGTTTCAGTACTCGTTTTTTTGAATTAAAGAATATTTACTGCTATTGTCTCTCAGCTAAGTCCCAGATTATGCTGTCTCAGATGTGCATTCTGGGTTGCTTCTGTGCTATATGAAGAATTATAAAGTTTAAATATTTCCTTCACTATTCTCTTTCTTGCTCGAGATGGAATTTTCTGCACCGTAACTGTGACTGAACTGGGAAGAGCTGCCTTCTGATGATGATGCTTACACAGACCATAGGACCAATTCTCCTGTAATCCTGCTGCTCTGAGCAGGATGAATGTCAAAACTTGCAACTTCAACACAATGTTTTTGGTTTAAAATTGCACGTATGAACGTTGATTTTGTTTTTAATGTAACGTGTTACAGCTTAAAGCTTTCAAGAATAGCCTAGGTAGCAGGGAAACAAAGATCTGTTAGAATTTCGGTTTGTTTCAGCAGCTTTTGAAAAAATAAATGGGTATGATCCCCTGGAAGACAGCATGTGGAAGTATTACCAAAATATTAATTCTGAGGTGACAGGAAAATCGAAAGCTATGAAAGGAATCACATTAAAAACTGGAAACTGTGCTTATTCAGCTGTCTACAAGGGGGTCCATGACAGCTGTGGGCACCTTCTATAAGGCAGGAATGCAATAAAAAAGGTGGTAATAGCAAACCTCATCCAGCAATTCACCTGCCAAGAGCAGTCTGATCGCTCCTTTGTAGACCAGTTCTCTTCTCAGCTGTTGTTCCTGATCCAACAGACCTGCCTGTGTGCATCCTAAGCCAGCATCAGTTCTCTGATGGGTGCAGTACATGTGCTTTTTGGCACTTCAGGACAAAATACATGGCTGCACATCACTTGTTTTAAATAAATTGAAGTGAATACAAAAGAAGGAGAAGAGAAAGTAAAGGCTGTAAAAATTACCACATCAGAGCATTTTGCTGCTAGATGTATGGATAAAAAATATTGCTTGTGACTCCAGTGAAATGAGCCCTCTCTTAGAGAGCCTTCTGCAATCTATCTTGTTTGTGCACTTTGGATTTCAGAAGAATTAACCTTAATGGAGTAGAGTTGAAAACATCGGATCATTGGCCAAAGCTTTAAAAAAAAGGTTTCCTTGCTACAGAAAGAACATTAGCATTCTCACAAAGAAGGTTCCATAGAAACAAGAAATATGTTTTTACAGCAAAACTCCCTTTGATGTGAATCTTGAGCAAAGCACAAAAAAGGGCCAGTGGGATTCTATTTTCTTCTGTGTATGCTTGTGCAATTCCTTTTTTATTTTTTGCTAATGGGCCACCTGGGATGTCTTCTTTCTGGTGACTGAACCAAGGCACCTTAGCAGGGTGGGAGGGATACAAAGGATTCCTCAAAGGAACTCACTTGCTGTAAGCAGCTTTGCAGAGGGAAATATTTCTGTGTCCTTTACCCATCTTTTTGGTTTCTTCACAATGTCTGCTTCACCTTGCAGTTGCACAGCAGAAGTGCAACTTGAATTACCAGCCAGCATCAGCTCCAGCAATCTGCTCCTGACAGAAGCTAGTGCTGGAGAAAAATTCAAGAAATTACCTTATTGGCAACAAAGAAATGTCAGGTATATACTGGAAAATATCTCTTTCTTTCCATTCATTAGAAATCGGGCTTAACTCTGAAGTCTGACAGTTTTTATCCTTTTTAAGTGTTCAGTATATTAAGTCGATCCATATCTTTCTGAATACCAAATAAATGTCAGAGGTCAATCATTGCTTTGTTTTCCTTACAAGATTATTTTCTCTTACACTTTTATCTCATGATCTTTCAAGCTCACTTTGATTTTCTTTTAAAAAGCCACTACAGCTCAGGATTACCTTATTTAAAACTATAAATTTAATGATTATTGTATCTAACTTCTTTTATATTGATGCAAGGCTCACTGATCTTCAATTTAAAGTGACTGATGAAAGCACTACAAAAAACCTCTAAAAATATTTTGCTAGATAATAGACAGCTTTGGCAGGATTGCAAGTAAAGCTTTTTCTCCTTTTTTTGGTTATTGAGTTGAGCATTTTGTCCTCAGCCTTCCTCCGAATTCTGCTGTTTTACCACTGTCCAGTTTAGCAGTGTGTTTTAATATCTTTTGTACTTATACCACTGCCTGCCTTTACCTCAGTTTTACTGCCTAACAATCAGACAAAATTTCAGTTACAGCTGTTTTGGAACACATCTTTAGAAACTGGGAAACTTTGTATACAAAAACGTGCCTTCAAGTCCATGTTATACGTACACGTTACTGGCAGTCGGATTTTTGTTTTTAAGCTCACATAGTTGTGAATTATGCCTATTGCTCCTTTATTCTGTTCAGTATTATCACTACTAAAAAATAACAGGTGGCAGAGTTTGTCCTGACAGAAGGAACATATTAGGTAGGAATTGTCTAAACACCTTGTCAGCTCTTCATGTCAGCAGTTTCTTAAAATTGTGCAAGAATTTCTGTGAGAGAACTGTCTTTTGTAGTAATGCTGCTTCACCTGAACGTTCCTCTCTTCTACAGTCTTTTAAGGTTATTATTGCACTTCTCTTTTTTTTTAAGCTTGTAGAGTCTATCTCAGAAAGTCAATCTTTAGCCTTCAAAATGAAGTCTAGTTTGAAGAAACATTGAGAATTGGAGTTCATAGGGTGCTTTGAGTTCCTGCATTAACTGCATCTAGACGCAGCAATGTATTTTTCTCATCTCTGTAGCCACGAAAATCAGAAACGGAGAGGAAATGAGGAGCAGAACGTTTGGAAGTGCCAGTTCAGACATTTCAATCAGTGAGTTTTGAAGCTTTGCAGCAGCCCAAACAGGTCAGTGATGTGGCAAGTACTTTCTGCATTACCCATCACTTGCTTGTGTAGACGACAGATGCTTACATGTCTGTGTTTTCTTTATTTAAAAGATTCTTGCAGTCCATCCTGACTCATTATTTCACAAATCTCCCTGCATGAACTGCATTACCTGTTTTCCTTTATATTTTAATGATCTAGAAATGGCAATTCCAAAATACATAGTGGCACGAAGTCTGGAGAAAAACAGCAAAAGACAGAGTTTGGGCAGCATGAGACTCATTGAAATTCTTCTGCATTCTGCTTTTCTGCTGGTCTCTGCACCGCTGCTCACTGAAAAGCAGGCTTTGGTTCAAATTTTAAGGAAAGGTTTTTGACATCCAAAAGATAATGTATTTGCTATTTGTTTTCTTCCCATGTCATTTTTGGAAGGTCCAGAGTAATAAAGGAAATATGTAACATCTAAATCCCCTGGTAGTGGAAAAATGCTGTTTGAGCCAAGAGCACTGGAATAAGAACTATGCCCCATGCCAATAGCATTTTGGATGTCAACTGAGATTTGTTTTGCAAGCAATAAGGATATATGCAAGCTGGAATCATTTAAATACAGGAAAAACTGTACATGAATCAACCCAAAAAATGCCCCACGGCCTTTTTGCCTTTGTAAACACTATTATAGAAATGACAACAAAATAGTCTCACTGACCTTATGCTTTGTCTTGCTACCTAGAAAAAAAAAAACCACAAAATACATGCAGTTCTGCTGGAAACCATGCAAAGAAATCTTAATGATTATTTAAGGTACAAATCCTATGCTAATTTAAGTTTTATTAAAAAAAAAAACTAAAACTGTACAAAAGTAAACACCACCAAAACGGCGCCTGATTAAGTAACTCAGATGTGGTGATATTCAATTGAGGTAGAACTTTCACAGCTTTGCCCTTTATTGTTTTCTTGACTATTCTCCCATCTGCACTGAAACTAGAGGAGTGCAAGCTTTTTCTCCAGATATTTCCAAGAAGCCTGAGGACATGCACAAGGAGGCAATTGGCCTGGCATGCAGTATGGGAGAAGAAATGGTAGCAAAGGCTGGCTGCAAAACTTAACTTCCCCACGGAAAACCAACTCATTTATCATCACAGTCTAATAGTGATATCAGAGTAGATGAAATCTAGACCCTGCCAGCCTTGTAAATTCTCAGCTGCATGATGTTCAGTGAAACTAAGAGGACAAAAGGGCAAAGGGAAAAAAGAAAATAGCATGCAAATACTGACAATGGATTTTGCTCTTCCTAGCTCAGATGAGATCTCCCCAGCAGGGCTCTATGCAGAGCATCTTACCTGCTCTGCAGAACATGCGGATGTCAGACCTGCTTCTGCAGCTTGATGCCACAGGGACTATGTGGGCTGTGCCTGGCAAGCAGTGATGAAGGAGATACAGACTCTCCTTGAAACATTTGGCTCTGTATATTTTATGCTTCCACCTGATATGGGTTGACTCTTCACTGGCTCTGTATTCTCTTCAGCAATATTTGAAGCTCAGCCTAGAAGGATACAGAAAACTTTTTTTCTGTGCAGCTGCTGCTAGAGTGCATGGGAAGGCAACCTGATCAGAATTAGGTAGCCCTGTTCTCCCCAGGGAAGTGCCTGCAGGCATCAGAAGGTAAAGCTGGCACGGAGAGGTGGGATTTTCCACAGGGATTTTCATGGAATTACCTCCATCCATTGCCCAGAATGCAAAGGTGCCAAACTCTTCCTTTCAAAAGCTGTGCAAGAACAAGTCCTTTTTGACTGGGGGTGGAGAATCACGGTGTGGTGTTCTCATCAATGCCAAGTGAGCTGATGTTCTCAGGATCAAGGAGACCTTGATTTAATTTTGCCCTCTCTGCCACAGTGCGACTTCAGCCCACATGTTCTCATGTGCTATCCCCGACAGGCAAGTTTTTTCACTGGAAAAGAAAGTGCCGGAGTGAGAAGTCAAGAAAGGGAAACAACTTTTCTGCCTAGGACTCAGGAGACCCTGCAGTAAAACTGTTTTTACTAATATTAAATTATAACCGCATAAACTGAACGGGGAAAAAGAACCAGAAGTCCCTGGAGAAGGGCCTCTAGCAGGCTGAGGAATTACTACCCTGCTGTTTTTCTTTCTGACAAAGCCAGCTGGGCAATGTTACGAGGATGGCGTGAGGCAGTGTGCGCTGTTGGTTCCCATGCAGTATTTCTCACGCTTTGTAGTCTATAGGGTGCCAATATTCAAAAGCATCCAAATTATGTAAAAATAAAATAAAAAAAAGGGGAGGATTGCTGTAGGAAAGTGCCAGTTACCCGCAGTGGAAACTGAATACCACTAAATGAAACTCATGTCGTGCTCTAACTGTTACACTTCACTTTGAAGGGCAACATTTTTATTTGTTTGTTTTGATTCCTATTTACTTTTTTTAGGTAGTGGATTTTTTTTTTTCCTAAGGAAAGTGAGGAGAAAACTTACAATAGAAGCCTTATCTGTGTTGATTTCAGTATACATTAAATGCTGAGTCTCTGTGAAGCTTCCCAAAAGCTGTATTTATGTGGTGAGTTACATCAGAAAGCTCTGAATTAGACTGCTTATATGATTAAACGCTGCACTCACTCATAAGCAAAGTGACACTCCTTCATTAAAAAAGCATTTCTAGTGAAATTCTATTATGGAAATTCATTCACATTGGCAAAAAAAAATCAGATTTGTATTGACATCTGACAAGGATTTGGTCAGGTGAATACAGTATTAAAAACTATGCCATGGAAGTCACTACTTTCTCCAGGATAAGGCAATATGCTGCATCCAGGGGATGAAATGCCATTCATGTAGCAAAGAGAAATGTGTTTATTAAAGGTCAAACTGAAAGGAAAGGAATGGAAAGATTTCCCACTCACAGGAGGTCCGTTTATTCCACACCATTGCTCACCTCATCGGAGGTAATGAGCTCCATGACAGTTTGGTGGCAGAAAAGTGGAGGTTCTTTCAAACAGAAAATTCTGGTATGATAAGAAAAGAAATAGCATAGGAAAATAAAAGCAGTCTAATAATTCTGCATTTAACAAAAAAAACAATATCTACTATTTCCTTTGAGAAGATATGAACATAGGTCAAGTTAATTCAGACTAAAAATATTAGCAAACAAATTCCCAAATAATAAGCTTGCCAAAATCTCTGCATCAGAAACTGAACTATAAACCCACATCCTTTAATCTGACACAAGTATGAATGTGACTGGGTGTGTACTCAGCTCTGTGAGTGTGAGATCATGCCTCAGTTTGGCAGTTCACCTATAGCCTGGTCCTGTAACTGTTGTCTGTGAGTAACAACCATACAAAGAAGGTGTGAAAATGGTGGTTTCAGGTGAAGTGACCTGTGAAGTGTGAAATAAGCTTTACAGAAAGAAATGCCTGCATCAGGAGAGATTATTTTCAGAATTAGTTTCAACACACTCACGTAAGTGTCTGTTTATTGAGATGTTTGTCCTGGCATATTCCAACTTCGGTGTCAAAATCAGGTCTCTCAGCAGAGAGAAAAGGATCCCTCTGCAAGGCAGTCCAGGAGTCGAACTTGGGTGGTTTCTATTCTTCTGTACAAAAGATCACCTCTCTTTTAATTAAAAAACAAAAACAAAAGAGAGCTTTGTTCACTGTTTAGACACTATTCATTAGTGCCAAGCTATCTTGTACCAATTACTGCCTAGCCCAATACCTTACAAATATATATATATGTATACACTATATAAAATAGACTTTGAAAAGAAGATATGCAATAAGAGAATTTTGTACTGCAGGTTGTAGCTGAAAAGATGTTCATGAAATGGCTTCTCTGTTCTTTACTTCTGACATTCTTGTCAACTGCACTTCCTAAGGACTTGTGACTGTACGACTGCCTTTGTATTACTGAGTCACATGCCCAGATGCTACTTACCAGAGGTGCCATTTCCATGACTTTGATTTCAGACAGGATTTATCTTCTTGTGGAGGTTTGCCTATGTAATTTAGGAATGTGATTTCCAAGAAATATTTAGAAAGGAAGGAATGGTGCTTTCATATGGTAGTTCTTCTGAAATGGAAACCAGTTTAGAATAGGTTGCTCTGAGAAAATACAGGCAGTTATGAAGCCCACACAAAACTGGGAGAATTTTAAGTGTAAGTAGGGATTTTAAACCTTTATCCAGCTCCTACAGGAATATATTTCTTCAATAAAGTAAGAACACCAGATTCTTTCTTCCTTTCTTCCTTTCTTCCTTTCTTCCTTTCTTCCTTTCTTCCTTCCTTTCTTCCTTTCTTCCTTCCTTTCTTCCTTCCTTTCTTCCTTTCATCCTTCCTTTCTTCCTTTCATCCTTCCTTTCTTCCTTTCTTCCTTCCTTTCTTTCTTTCTTCCTTTTTCTAAGGGGTTAAAAATGGCCAAGTACATTTGCAAAATATAAAAGCACTGCAAATAAATTATGGGACCTTCAAAAGGACAGTGCTTTTTTTCTTCCACTTTCCCAAAACAGAATACATTCTAAACTTCTTCCTCCTCTCCCAGTTAAGTTCTATATATCTGTCGTATATGAGGCAAAAGTTAAGATAACAGCACAATTCTAAGACATTCTATTTTTATAGCAGAAAAATCTAATAGCTTGAGACATTTTTATTACAGCACTGAATCTCTCCTGTGGTACCAGTCTCTTTCTGCCAGTGGACTGCTGATTTAGGGACGATACAGGTCTTTCCTGCATACTTTAAATCCAAGGTAAAGGAACTTTCAAGATTACTGCTCCAATCTGATATATTTAAGCAAAGCAACAATGAATTCTTTCTCCCTCTCTTGCAGAATCAGTATAGAATAGGTAATTAAATTGAAGTGTGGTTTTTGATACATTTATGTTACAGTGCTGCTTTTGCTGCATACACTACAACTGCTATAGAGGGAAAAGAGCTGCACTTGTTCTATTGGCAGGAGTGCTGCAGAAATAATGGCTAATGGGAAATCTTCTCTCCTGCAGAATGCAGAATGTGAGTATCAGTAGCTATGGTGCACTTATGGAGAAATTATGTTAAGATTTTTTTCTATGTAATCTCTACAAATCCAAATCCATCTAATGAAGATAAAAAATGATATCTTTTACCCAATTGAATCATACAATCATAGAATCAGTAAAGTTGGAAGAGACCTCTAACATCATTGATTCTAACCATCAACGCATCACCACCAGCACCAATACTGCCCACTAACCGTGTCCCTCAAAGCCACATCTCCATGTTTCTTGAATACCTAAAGGGACAGTGACTCCACCACCTCCCTGGGCAGCCTGTTCCAACAGCTCATCACTCTTTCTGAGAAGAATATTTTCCTAAAATCCAACCTTAATCTCCCCTGGTGTATCTTGAGACCATTACGTCTCATCCTATCACTGTCACCTCCAATCTCCATCTCACCACAACCTCCTTTCAGGTGTTTGTAGAGAGTGATAAGGTCTCCCTTGAGCTCTCTTTTCTGAATCTGGTTGTTGTTCATAAGACTTGTGCTCCAGACCCTTCATCAACATTACTGCCCTTCTCTGGACATGCTCCAGCACCTCAGTGTCTCTCTTGTAGTGAGGGGCCCAAAACCGAACACAGTACTTGATATGAGGCCTCTCCAGTTCTGAGTACAGAAGGGCTAATTACCTCCCTGGGACTGCTGACTACCTACTTTTCATGAATCCATGCTGGCTGGGCCTGATCCTCTGGTTGTCCTGCACATGCCGTATGATGTTCTCATGAAGCAAAGCAAAATCTTCAGCAACTTTGAATACGAGGTTTACTGAAATTATTCTCCCCTGATGAAATTATTTCTGAGAAGCTGAAAAAGAAAAAAAAAATTGAGACAGTGATATCAGTAAGTTTTTGTTTGCCTAGATATTTCTTCCAAGGGAACTCAGTACAAAGACAGTGTCTTGGTATAAAATAAAGCAAGTTTTCACAAGGACTGTGATCACGGGTATCCTGAGCATGGATTTGGCTATAGGTAATTTATGATTTTATATGAACTACAAGAATTCCAGGAACGTAGATCTGACTTAATATAACGGAGGAAATAAGAAACAAATTGAATTAGCACTTACAGAACAGTAAGTTACATACGTGCGTGTTCACTTTCCGATATCCTCCCGTTAGCAAACACAAGCATTACTAAAAATGCATGACACTATCTGGAAAATCTGAAAGCTGCCTTCACCTTAGGACTAAAAAATAAATTTCCGTCAGTCCTGCTGATAGCACTCAATAAATAAATAAATAAGTAGTCCCACACTCCTCAACAGTGCTGAAGTTGCAGAACAGTAAGACAACCTTATTTTTGCTCTATGGCCTGTTTTGCACTGGTGATGCATACTGCCTGCCGTGGTATCATCCCAGTTTTGTTTTCCCTTAGATGAAAAATAAGAGAGCCCAACTGTAGCCTGCCTGATTTGAAGGTAAAAAAGACCAAGTTGTTCTGACACTTCTCTGTTCCCACCTTCATCATTCTGAATCTCTGTCCAGCTGCAATTCAATATGACAGAGGAAGAAAGGTCCCATGTTGTCTTTCCACATGTTTAATGAATAGGTAGTGAGGAAGAAGGAAGTCCCATTTTTGCAGCTGTTGAGTGGCAGACTTATTTAGATATTAGGGAATTTATACAGTAACTCATTCTGAGGACACAATTCCATTAAAAAGCTGCTTCTAAAACTTCACATTATTATTAATGAGTTTGATAATAAGTTCTGATCACAGATCAAAGCCATACTCTGTTGAGTTTTGTACACAGATTATTCCTGCTTCACTCATTTCATAAATCACAAATCAACAAATGGTGAAAACAAGAGACAGCAGCACTCAGTAATGTTGGCAGTACTATGGTACACAGCCTGTTGTCAGTGCTTTTTCAAGCATTACCACAAAAGGAAATTTTAAAGTAGGATGAAATCATTTTATTCTCTTTTGTAGGTGGTAAAACATAATCACTTTATGTAGTAAAACAGAGCTGAAGAAATGAAAAATTGCTGCTTTCCTTCTTGTTGAAACCTTACTAAGTCAGCCACCATGATCACGGAACACCTAAGTGCATCCAGTTCTATGTATTGTATTTGCAAACTTCAAAGCCAGCAACTGCAATTGCTTTGTGGTGACTCATTCAGCTTTCATGGGTGGTATTACGCCTAATGATACTGTCCTACTGTTCTTCCAAGCTCTATCCCTCTCTAAGCAAAAGAAAAGCACTAGGAAGGTATACACAAAGATAGATTTCAATCAGCAGAATAGAACACCCCTGAGGCTCTTGCTCTTTCAGCCTTCTACTCAGAATTAGCAATGCACTGGTTTAACCCTTTGCATTGTGTCTATGCATTTGTACAAGTGTGTTGGGCAGAGATGTATTTAACATGAGTAAATACAGACATATAATATAGACACAACAAAAGGGAATGGCAAGGGAAAGCCTAGCTAAAAGATCCCAACAAAATCACACATTAAGGTTGTGTACAATTCAGACATTTATCAGTGGTGTGCACACCCACATCTCTCCTTCACAGTTTCAATGTTCTGTTTGTTGGAAGGCTACTTCCTAAGGAGCACATCAGTTGGAGGGCTGCGTTTGCCTGAAGAGGGTAGTGATGGGGACAGTGTTGAAAAGGACTGAACCCTCTCAAGAAGAAAATAAAATGGGTGGTGCAGGGCACGTGGAATATCAGCAGGGAAGAAGGAAATCGAATTTCAGGAAGGAAAAAAATAAAAAGAAACTTTGCATGCGTCCTCATTTCAGTTTACTGTATGCCCTGCAGCTGGATGAAATCCTCATGCAGGGGAGAGAACATACAGAAAATCTGGGGTGGTTTGGGCTGGTTTCTCTGCATTTGTACCTCTCTTTCTGCAAACTGTGGAACAATTCATTTCTGTACCCCTCCTGAAGTTTGTGTATCTGGCTGAGCTGGCAGCCCATTTACATGAAGATGAGACATTTAGGCTCCATATCCTTATTTCCTCCAGTCTGTAACAAAGAAGTGAGAGCCTTTTTTTCTTTTTTCTTTTTTTTTCACCACTAGAAACATCAAAACAGCCTGCAAAATTTCCTTTCAGTCTGAGAATAAATAGCAATATAAAACGTTCCTTTTTGTTCTGGTCCCAAGTTGATGCCTGTTATTGTCTTGCTAAGGAAACAAACTGCTAAACCAAACAAAAGCCAAAGGTATCGAACCTTCCTTCCCCAGGGCAGCTCAGTTGTCAACTCCTTCCTGACTGATGCTCTCCGGTAGAGACAACTGGCTCTGGTGATTGCTGTTCTTCCATTTGACCGTCAGCCTCTGGTGTGGTGTATCCCTTCACCTCCCTTGTGATTTCAAACTGGAGGGGTGAAGGGTCATTTCTTTCACTGTAGGCTGTATATAATAAAGAACACATTACAGAGAACACAAAAAGTACACTTGGAAAAACTTCAGTTAACATCTACTGTAACCGAAATATCTATTCTCTACAACTGTAGAAGAGAGTTTAAGCAATTTCCCAAGGTTGCAGAGAGATTCTTTTTTTTTTTTCAGCAAACCTTGATATTAGCTAGAAAAACCTAATTCTGATTTTTTTTCTTAAATTTTTTCAAGTGTTTCTTACTGAAATTATCGTTATAGCTCACAAGAAAGTCTATTCAAATTATGGCAATTTGTAGGATTCTTGAAGTAAAGCTTGGAGATACTGAGTCAATAACTTCACTCATATCAGTCTCACTGATATCAAAGTTGATTTGAAAAGCCAAAGAGTTGTGGGAGTTTTTGCTTTTTGTAATGAAATAAAAAAAGAATAACAACTGAGAAACACAGTTTAGGCAGTCTTATGTTTTAAGTTCTTGAATAAAAATCCTTCAGCTTATCTGGCCTAAGACAGAACCATATAAAAATACTGTGCAAGCTGGGAGGACTTCTAAGCTGACATAACGTTATCATAGGAACAAGGGAGTGAAACACGAGTTGCAAAAGCTTGTAGGGTCTAGCAGATGAACTAATTTTGACAAGAAGAGGAACCAAAGCAGAGGAAACTGAAATAATCAGATTAGATGTATTGCAAAAATTTCTAAATAATGACAGGCATGAAAATGCTCACTCATTTTCTAAGAGAAGTAACCTGAATCGCAAAAAGCAGCATTCTCCTTAACAAACACAGCTGGCAAGGGAAGCGTCAACCTGTTCTACACAGATCCAATTCATTCTTCCTGCAAACTGCCTTGAAAATCCAGCCCATTTTTCTTTAGTAAAGCTGTGGTTCAGGACTTCATTGTTCTACATGTTCACAGCTGAAGCTTCCTCTTTCTGGTTTCAACACTGCTCTCCCTGCAAAACTGTTTAGCACATTGCAGTGAAAAATATCTTGCTGACTTATCACCTCCATTATGTTTTCACCTAATCTTCATCCTTTGTGTACTGCTTTCTTCTCCTGCTGCAACCCACAAGCTCTGTACCTTGCATTGCTCACTTCTCTCAAAGCACACCCTGGTCTGTACTTGCAGCTGACCAGTAAGCACCAGCTGCTAGTGCGCTCCCAGCACAGCTCATTCCTCCTTTATAGTGATCCTTTTGCAGAGGAAAAGCTTCCCCTAAACAAAATCTGCAAAGTAACTTCAGCTGCCTTCTTCAGATTCACTGCAGCCTTCCTATGTACATAACACCTGATAGTGACTCATTACCCCTCTTCTGTTGCTACTTCCTTCTTGCTTATTCTAAACTCTTAAGCTCAACTGGACTCTGCCTTCAGCTTTGCACATGCTCATTTTCTTACCACATACTCAGGTGCAAGGTGAGGTCTGTGCTTTTTTTCCTAAGTACGTCACAACTCTAGAAACACTCCATTACAAGAAGAGAGATTAAGCTTCTCAGTTCATGTGAAGCCTGAGACATACATTTATGAAACCCAGCTTCTTCATGTGCTGCAGAGAGTGTCGAGCCTCTGAGCCAGCTCTCTCAAGGAGGTGAGGCAAGGACTGCTGAGATAAACATTTACGAAGAGCTCTGCTATTATACGAGAAAGAAATAAAGTCCATAAAAGAACCAGTGACAAAGAGCAACTGTGCCGCATTACAATGCACTTTATTAGGTGACATGCCCAAGGTTTGATTCCTCTGACTGCCTCCAATCATCAGCTGCAAAAACACTGCCCAGGTGCCCAGGTGTTGCTGAGTTTGTTGCAGTGAGAATCTGCTCTTAAGGAAGATGAAAAATTGTCATGAAACAAAATCAGGAGAAATAAATTGTTGTGCACGAAATAGAGTCAGTACACCTGGTTTTCTTCTCAGAGCCAAACTGTAGCTTTGTCCATGAAGCACACTTGTGCTGTAGGTCTGACAGCAAGAGGAAGGAGGACTTCTGGAGGACAGGAACAACAGGACTTCTGGGTACTCAGTTCTTCAATTTGCAGTCTTCAATCCTTTGGGGCACACATTAAGGGCCAGCTGTTGATATGTAGGAAAATCTGCCATCACGTGAAAGTTTTCACATAACCATAAAATTCCAGAGTTTTAGCTTTAGCCATTCTGAGCACACAGATGTAGAATCATAGAATCCTTAGAGTTGGAAGGGACCTCTGAAGGCCATCTGGTCCAACCCCTCTGCAACATACAGGGGCATAGAGCCATACTTTGTAAAGAAAGGAAGAGGTAAGCGGAGGAAAAGAAAGTAGAAAAAGTCAAGAAAGACAAGAGGAGTAGTGGAGCAGAAAACTGTACAAAAAAATGAAGATTTGTAAGTAAGAACAGGAATTCCAGCAAGAAAGGACTCAGTCATCGGGCACCTGAGGCTACTTCCTCAATCTCTGCCTGCTCAGAGCTGATCTCACTCACTGAACAGAAACGATGGCAGAAGGCACTCCTCCATGTTCACCAACTGCTTAAGAGTGGGAGATGCACTCTATGCGGGCTTGGCAGAGACCACAATCTTCAGCCCAGAACATTTGCAGATCCAATTCACTGCACAGTGACATGCTACTGACAGTCAACAGCAAGAAAACCATTTACTTCAGAGATTAGCTGTGGAAAATAGGAATGACTGTCCAGGACCCAATGGCCTGTAACAAAAGCAACTTCACTTTTCATTACTGGGCTCTTTCCTTGAGTAATTAATCTTTTCAGAAGACAGGGGGCCCTTACATTTATCTCCTCTTGTCTCTGTGGAACAGTCTTTCACCAGGTGAGCAGTCCAAGACACCTGCAGGAGTGTTACCTCTCAGAGCAAACAGGGGCAGCAGAAATGAGGCCTCGGAGTCTGAATCCTGTCTGAATGCTGAGGAGCCATTTCGTTTACAGTGGTCTCCATTTCCTGACACTTACTTAGCACCGTCATTATACTGCAGTGTTAGAATTGGAATATCATTTCAGGAAAACTGAAGCCACTTGTGAAAGAAAAACATAAATTGCAATAAAGAAGTCAACGTGAAAAATGTGTTGGGAATAACATAGAAACATTTGTTTCTAATACAAATACAGGTTTAAAAGAAAACTGTCACGCAGAGAAATCAAACTGTGAGAAAACTGATAAAAGAAAAACGTGTACTGAGGAAGAATGAGGACCTTATAATGTGACATGCTCAGAAAGTATATATTCTAATTACACTTTCATAGCAGTGAATTTTTTTAAGATGTTTGTTAACTAACTACAAGAAGTTTTCCCAAGAATCTGATCCAGTGATTATCAACTGCTACTAATCTGCTGCTTTCAACAATGCCAATATCAAAGCACTATGATGCTTTGAAGCATTATAGATGAAGCACAGATGAAGCACTATGCCAATATCACAGCACTATGGCACTCTGTGGAACTGGCCCAAGTGATGTGAACAAGTACAGTATGGAAAAGAACTTTCTTACAGATTTTTCCCACGTTCTGTCTTATCATTTTTTCCTTTCACTTTCAGTAGGCATTTCTGAAGATGTCTTTTTCTTTCTCTGGAAATAAGCAACAAAATGTGTGAATTTTCCAGAGGTTTTACCAAGGGATGTTTCAAGCCTTTTAAAACTAGATAAGCAAATAAATATTTCTTTGAGAAGTACAGTCTTCTCCTTCATTCTCTTAAAAGCTGGGAGCCCTGGAAAACATGGCTGAACACCCAGGGTCTAGTTAGTGCAGTCACTTACATTGTCAGAGCAGGTTATGACAGTGATGCTCTAAGCATCATCTGAGCATCACAGAAAGCATCCACCTGTGCTTTGTACTGCAGTCCAAGGAGCAGCTAACAGCAGCTCACCAGCTCATGCAGAACTGCCTGAGGCACAGCTCGACAAACTACAGGCAGGGTGGGTCAAGGGGCAATGCCTGGGTGCACAACACTGTCCCCAGGTGGATTTTGAGTGTTGAGCTCTGTAGCAGGTAAATTTACCCCTTTCTGCTCCATGGGGAGCAGAATCTGTAGCTGTGCTTTTGAAATGTTCCACAAAAAGTAAGGTTTGAGTAAATTGAGTGTCACTGAGATCAAGACCACCTTTAGTCACCATTTCACTTAGCTGGAGAAGGCCTCCAGAAAACTCTTTGCTGCATGACCCAGACCAAGGACTCCAGCATTGATGGCATTTAGTCCCTCTTTTATCTAGTACCCTCAAAGTCTGCAACGACCCTAACATTTCTTTGCATTCTTTTCTCAAAATCAGTGCTTTTTTTCTTTTTTAAACATCTGAACTGCAGAAAAGGCTCCATTTTGAGACTACAATTAATTTGGTGTTTTGGTACAAGAAGATATAACACATCTCTGTATACACCAATGTATTCTTTAATTCTGTGAATAGCCAAAAGGCAGAACAGCAGTAAAAAAGATCAGCTATCAGCTTCACACCTGCTTGTGGCATAAAGTGCTCGAATGGAGCCTTTCTGTGCTCCACAAGAAATTGTTTTTTTTCTCACACTTCGTTATTTAGTCTGTCACTACGGACAGGTGCCTAAATAGTTCAGTTGCACTTTCATGTGGTATAACCCATGCTCTCTAAGCTGTCCCCTGCAGCTATTCAGGAGGTTGTTAAGGGATATGATCATTAATAAAAGAGTGTCAGTTTCATACAAGACTAAACACTGGGGAATGTAAAGATCTGGGGACTGCCTGAGAATCTTCCCTGATCCAATTAGCACAACAGCAGGTGATGGCAGAGATTAAATTGAAGAATATAACTTCTGTCCAGCTTACTACTCACCACATTGATCATGGCTATGGCCTGATAGACAAATTAGCTGACTTACAGAAACACAAACAGGAATTCAGTGGCTCAAGAAGAGTCTAGAAGAGTGTTCTGCCTTGCATACCACCAGAAGAAACCTCAGTATCCCAGGCTTGCACTATTCTTTGCAGCACTCCATGCAGAAAGGACTGAAAATCAGCAAATAGCCTGGGGAGAACTAAACAGCCTCTTCGATTTGCTTGGGACATAGGTTTTAACTGTCTGTCCTTGCTTTTTCTGGGATAGACTTAATTTTCTTCCTAGCAGCTGGTACAGAGCTGTGTTTTGAAGTTTAGGATGAGAATAACGTTGATAACAATGTTGCATGGCAGTTTGTATATTGAGTCAAGGACTTCTTAGCTTCTTGCACTGCCTTGACAGCAAGGAGCTGGGTGTGCAAAAGAAGCTGGGAGGTGATTGAATGAGGACAGCCAAAATTGGGCAGAAGGATATCTCATACCTTGTGGCACCGTGTAGAACAATAAAACTGGCCAGGGGAATTGCTGCTGCTTGGAGACTGTCAGAGCACTGGTCAATTGCATTATGCATCACCTGATTTTTTTGTTCTTGTTGTTGCTTTCTTTATTATTTCCTTTTTTTATTAAACTGTATTTACTCCAATCCATGAGTTCTTGCACTTGGAATTTCCACTGTGGGTGAACAGCTGTGTGGTATTTAGCTGTCTGCCAAGTTAAGCCACAACAGTGACTTAGGAGAATTCAAAGTTGTACTGGCAGACAAGACGACTGTCGCAGACAGAATTTTTTTTAACTGTTTGTACTGGCAGATCCATCATAAAAAGTTCCTTTTCTTCACAGCACACAGATCTATTCTGGATCCAGAGTAAAGAGAGTTGGGAAGAGACTGAGACAAGTCCATCCCTAAACAAAAGGAGATACATCGTATACACTGCTCTTATCTCTATATACAGAGAGTATCCTACTCCCTTATCACAAGAACAGCTTTCAAACGAGGCCATACTTTCTGAATATCTAAGTCATGTACTGAGTGCATGTCTGGATGGATCTGTGTTCCTTGGAGTGCCCAGGGAAAAACAAATACGTGGCTCTGTAAGAGACAGCTTAGCTGAATATGCAGCTGGGATTTTGGGCAGCTTTCCAACATTGTCCTGTGATGGCTCCCTTTCTACTACAGTCACTGGGACTCACTCAGACGACCTGTTTTGATACCGCCTCACAGCATCTGAACTGCACTGAAAGAAACAGAATAGCTCCGTCTACTGAAGAAATAGACCAAATCAATTTGAAAGCACAAACAAGTTACAAGCAGGTGTGCAATAAAATAACACTTAATATTTAGCCCAGTACTTAGTACATAGCCCAAATTATAGGTTGTATGAGATTAACAGAACAGAGTGGCTACATCCCAAAGATTCAAACATCTCTTCTTACCACTTTGGTGCCTGCTAAACAGAGGAGAAGATAATGAAGGAATGGTGCCTGAATTCTCATTCTGCAGTGACATTCAAATTGTATCACCTTTCAGTAATATCAAAAAAATAATGGCTAGCCCACTCCACCAACAGAGAAGGTTGTACTGTACCATTTTGCCTTTTTTTTTTTAAAACAAACAACTTCCTCCCAAAGTAACCCACAGTTCCCCAGACTGAGCTTTTCTGAGTGGTAGTCCCAGCAATGATGGCAATACATCAGAAAAACAACATTTTCTCCTCAAAGGACAAAGGTCAGAGATATTTACTCTTGAGAAATGAAGTTCTTTGCTTTTGTAACAGATCTGGCAGCACATAGTCAAAAGAGAACTGTGTAATGTAGGAATAAGAAATGGAGACGCTTAAGCAATCTTGCTTGCTCTCAGTCTCAGTCTTACGTATCTACAATGTGCTGCAGTGAGAAAATCTTAACAAGAGCGTAGCATTCTCAAGATTTGGGGTGACACTTTACCTTCAAACAGAAGCAGTCAAAAGTAAAAAACATTAAAAACAAAACACAGCACCACAGAAGTGACAGCCATTTCCCAGATGCCAAAGCCAGAAGTCTGCTGGCTAAGGCTGAATTAAGAAGATGCTAATTGTGTGGGCTCAAAGATTTTTGCAATTCTCCAGCTTCCCGATATGATAATAGCCATGGGTCAGGAGAAATGAATAGCCATACCTACAGCATGAGTTCTACTGAAAGCTCAAGTGCATTTGCTATTAATTATTTGTCACTGCAGGTTCACCATCATTAATGCCAGGGCTATGCATGATCACTCAGCAGCACTCATTTGGTTTAGATGAGCTGTAGTATTTTTGGCACATTAGCCAGAGCATATATTACAGAATGTTTATTATTCTGGATTTGTGGGAATGAGTAATATCTGATCTGACATAAAGCATGCTAGTACAACATCAATCTGTTAAATCTACCACTTTTAAACGAATCTGGATTACCTCTGTGAGTTTACACTGGATCATTGTTGCCAGAACTTCTCTTATCCCGTCCTCAAAATTATGAAGTTGGGTTTACAATAGAGTCAACAGATGGCCTCAGCTGAACTCTTAAAAACGAATCTGCTCAATGCACTGCACACCACCTGCTACCATGCCAGTAACGACATCAGTAAAGAAGTATGTTCCAGTGTCAGCTGGAATTTTCCTAGGCCCTATTCCTCTTTCTTCACCAGTAGGCAATATCCAGAAGGGTGAAAAAGGATGAGCATAAGATTGAACCCATTAGTGATATTCTTAGAGCACTTAATTTCCATCCTTGGACTTATTTAGATGCTATTTGTGGTGCACACTTTTTTTTCCAGCAAGGACTGCTGAGATGAAACATGTACACAGGCTAAAGCTAAAAGAGATCCAGTGGAAAACAGAGACACAGTTTGAGGCAGCAAATGTTGGGGGCCAGGAAATATTCAGCAAAAACATCATGCCCCCATAGGAAGATAAATATGCAGCTGAGAGGCAATGATACAAGAGTTACAGCAGATAGGAAGAAAACAGCAGATCTAGAAACCATTACCACAGCTACTTCAGGAAAAGCAAACAGTAATTCATGTCAAGAAGCAATGCTAATGAAGGGGTGGTTGTTTGTAGTGTTACAAATGCTTGCAAAGTTTCTCAGTTCACGTGATCATAAGCTACAGAAGCTGGCTGCCACCCTTGTAACCAGGCTATATAAATAATGAAGAGCTGATTGCAGCTGGCACATAATCTTGGGATCATTGATAAAGCAGTAGTATTAGACTCAGTTATTAGAGGAAAGAATTATTTTTGAAGCTAAAGAGCAAACCCAGTTTCGAATAAGAAAATTTAAAAAAAGCAAGTAGTGCCATTTGAAACATTATGGATAATGTAGAGAATATCAAACATGAATGGACAGCCAGCATGGCAGGGAAAACTAGGCTTAAATAGTGAATTATGTATCATATTTCTTTTCAAAGACCAGGTGGAGAAAAACAGGAATCAGAAAGTTTCCCAGTGCTCTCAAAGTAGATTTCTTTCTAAATAGTATCTATAATTTCAAGAAAAGGGTCTCCAGGACAGCAAATAGAGTTTAGAAGCAGAAGCTCTGTGTTTATCAGTCCATCTCAGCCTGCCCAAGCACAGGATTTACAACACTGAAGTTGGTTAAACCCAGGCAGATCTGTCAACCCAAAGCCACTGCACAGAGCACTGTAAATAACAGAGGACACTAAACCTGCCCAAACAAGCCTTCCTACTTTATATACCCGGGCCTTCTGTGATATGAGACAGGGTTTCTACAGTGACAAAGGGTACAAATCAAACATTCAAACCTTTATCAAATCCCCAGGTACAATTGTTAATGGAAGGCAGGACCTTTGCTGCCTGCCAAGGGATTCTGTGTCAACTGAATGGGATCCAGATAGGCTCATTGTCTTAAACATCATGACTCCCCACCTAAAATACAAGAGGTTGAGAAAGAAGGCATCACGGTGTGACAAAAATGTCCTGGAAAATCGATTATTAAACAAAATGTTTACATGCCGTAGCTGAGGAGAACTGAAGTCTCCTAAACCTTTGGTTATCCTTTGAGGAACTAAGAATCATTAAAGGCATACTCACAAAATTCCAGCTTCGGCGTTAGACTCCCGGAACTTTTGAAGCTTTAAGAAAATTGGATTGTAATGAGTCTAACTGTTCTCACAGCAACCAGTAACTGAAACCTGAAAAACAAAGTAGAAAAGTTGTGAATTACACATAAATTTTGAAGTATTACATCCTTTCAGAGTCCTTACAGCAACGGTTTCTTGCCCAAAAAGGCATCCTGGGAAGAGCTGAACTGATGTAAAACTAATGCTCTATAAGATAAATCAGAAGACACAAATGTGCATGTATTAAAAAATAAGAATATTTTGTACTCTTGGGCATGGAGCAAATCAGTACACTGAATTGACAGTATGCACACTGACAGATGATGCATTGAATATGCATACACAGATTAATTGTAATATTAATTGGACGTATCCTCATTAACTAGCAGCTACATAGCTTTCATGATGCAAAAGCATGCACTTGGATTAACACTTACCTGCATCTGCTTGTACAACAGGCTACCAGCCTGCTGCTATTTTGGGAGAGGGATGTGTAGAAACTGCAATTGCCTCCATGGGTTGCCTCAGAAAGGAGAAGTCTTACAAAATAGCCATGTTTCAGTTATTTATTATTATGTGTTATTCTGCTTGTCTGTTTTCCTGTTTTTCTTTTTTTTCGTACCAAGATATTATTTGAGCCAACTGGCTCCCGTTTACATGTTGAAAATTTAACTCACTGCACACCAGGAAAGTAGGTTTAATACCACAAACCTTATGGGTGTAGGGTTTCCAAGTATGCGTCAATGATATGACAAACAAAGTCAGGATCCTATGCAGAACCTTCCACAAAATGTCCATCCCAGCAAGGAAAGGTATAAATGGTTCAAGCAAAACAAAACAAAACAAAGCAAAACTACACTGCACAACAAAGAGACTGCAAAGGCAGAGGCAACAGAACGTGGAAAAAAAGGAGTGAAGATTCAGAGGAAACTTCAAGAAATTATACCTTACCAAAAACTCTATCTGAAGCACCATGGAAACTAGGCAAGTAGTACACAATGGACTCATACGTTCATTCAGATCACCTGCATAAATTCTGCATATATACAGCACACACAAGGGTATCAGTTTTGTGTAAATATATTCCCTTCTGTTTTCCCTATTTGTTTGCTCTTCCAACTTTAGTCAAGAGTAGTGGATAACAAAATGGACAATGGAATAAATGAAATACAGATATTTAAAGCATCCCAAGCCAGCAAATTAAACAAAGTGATTTGCTGAATTCCTTCTGAACTTTGTGCAAAACTGTACAGAAAACATTCTTCATTGCTAATCAAGGAACGTTGCGTATGAACTAGAGTAATTGTTTATAACACAAAGCAAACAGTGCCTGTAAAGCTTGAGACCATTTTGGGTTTTTTTTTATGCATCTTGAAAGAAAGTGGATTGGCCTTCAGTTGTGAAGTCTATGAGCAAAATTTTAAATATGCCTTATCTCAGTTACAGCTTCGGAAGTGTAGCTGAATACACTGCAAGTGGACAAAAAATATATATCTTTGCCTTTGTAATAGGACTCTCAGGGGGCTCTGATTGTTAGACTGTGAGTTAGCAACATCTGGAAAACATTAGGGAAATGCCCTAGGAAAAGGCTACCTCTCTGCATCGCTTAATTTTCAAAGAACGTACAAAAGACTCAATGACTGCAAGAATCTAGCTTCAGTATCTGTGTTCCTCTTATATAATTTGGTCTGCTGCCAGTTTCTGAAGGTTATCTTAAAATGAAGATCCTTTCAGAGGAAACATTCAAATACCTCAGAGCTTTAAGGAAATACACTGCAGACTCTCCCTTGGACAGTGCTAATCAAAAACAAAAATACAATTAGGAAGGAGTTTATTGAGATATTGAATATAAAGCACAATAAATTGCAGAATGTTCCAGTTCAGAAAAAATCTACTTAGATTTTTTCACTGAATACCAAGATAAATCAATTTTTCACTGAAGAGAATATATACATTTCTAATAAACAAACAAACAAACAAACACAACAAACCAATGGACGAACAGTTTTGAAAGCTTGGTTCTTTGTCAGGTTTTACCTAGAACAAGATTAAGGAGATGATGTAGGGCTGAGAAATTAGGAGTCCTGTTGTTGTTATGAGTCAATGAATGTTAACATTGTTAAGGAATCACAGTGTTATAGAATGCCTTGGTTTGGAAGAGGTCTTAAAGATCATCTAGTTCCAAACCCCCTGCTGTTGGCAGGGTTACCACCCACTAGATCAGGCTGCCAGGGTCCCATCAAACTTGGAAGATAAATAGTGCAATATAATTTTAAGTAATCAGCAGCTAGGCCTCTTACTTTGAAGGAGACAAATCTTTGAGCAATATGGTTTTCCCTCTTAGAGATGACTTCTTACTGAGACACCTAAACAGTTTTGACATCCACATTATTGCCAAATTCTAAAGATGGTTAAGGACGTGATAGATATGACTGCAACAGAGCTGTTTTGCCAAGCAGCAAAAATTTGCAGGAAAATTTTAGACTGCTTCCACTTTTTTTTTTCTTTTTTTTTTGGTGGGGGGGGGGGGGGGGG